ATTTAAAAAAATAAAATTTAAAAAAAGAAAGTATATCTTGCTCAATAAGATGTACAACTAATTGAAGGGAAAACAGAGAAAAAGCATTTGATAAATTGCTATAGTCATTCATTTTTTTAAAAACACCCTATCAGGAGAAATTGGGATAGAAGAAACTTCTCACCTTGGTAAGAGCATACCAAAAACTGTACAGCTCATGTTCTACTTATGGTGAAAAACTGACTGCTTTTATCTTAAGTCTGGGAATAAGATTATAGATATTCACTATCACTATTATTAAGTATGTTATTGTTGTTATGTGCTGTTGAGTCACTTGCAACTCATAGTGACCCTATGTACAAGAGCCCTAAACCCTGCTCTATCTTGTTCCAACGTCATTGTCTCCGACACTCCTACTCCCACTACCCCAACCACTGAATCGATCCATCTCATCAAGGATCTTCCTTTCCTGCACTGTCCCTCCACTCTGTCAAACATGATGACCCTCTCCAAGGACCAGTGCCTCCTTGCAACATGCCCAAAGTAAGTCAGACGAAACTTCAGAATCCTTGACTCTGAGGAGCAGCCCGGCTTCACCTTCTCCAGGACAAACTTGTTTGTTCTCCTAGCAGTCCCTGGTATATTCAACACTCTTGTCCAACACCACAGCTCAAAGGCATCAATTCTCTTTCTATTATCCCTAGTCACTGTCTAGCTCTCCGATGCATAGCATGCAATAGTGAATAGTACTATTAAGTATACTCTTGAAAAATTCTAGATAGTTCAAGAAGGCAAGAATATAAAGTAAAAGGCACACAGATCAGAACTAAGTTAAACTATCCCTCTTTGTAGATGACTGCAGGGAATCCCATGTAATCTAGGGGAAAAAAAAAAAAAGCAAGTTCTAGAATGAGTGAAGATACTGTATTTCTACATACCAGTAATGAATAACATGGTCCCAAAAGTCTTTAAATGACCCAGGTATAAATCTAACAAAGCATGTACAGGCCTCAAAGCACTGACGGACAAAGTCAAAGGTCTAAATAAATGGGGAGACATCATACATTCATAGATCTAAAGACTGTCTAAAAAAGCCTACATAATTCTCCCTAAAAAGGCCTACAGGTATAATACAATTCTTAACAGAAATTTCAGCAAAGGTTTTTCTAGAAACACACAAGCTTATTCTAAAATTTTTATGCAAAGGGAAATGTCCTGAAATAGTGGAAGAATTTTTAAAAAGAATAAAGTTTCCAATCTCACGCTATAGTTAATCAGGACAGCGTAGTACTGGTGGAAGGATAGATACACAGATCAAAGGAACAAAAAGAATCCAGGAGTAACTGCATGAAGTACAGTCAGATGAATTTCTGACAAATGTACAAAGGAAATTCATTAAAAGGGAAAAAAATTGACAAACCCTGAAATTAAAAAAAACCAAAAAAACCCAAAAACAAGAAATCAACCCTGTCCATACAAAATTAACTCAAAATGTATATAAATGTAAAATAAAGTTATATAGTTATCAGAAAAATACATGTGGGGAGGGAATCTTACAGGTTTACACAGAGTTCTTAAATTTGACATCAAAAGCATAACCCAAGGGGAGCTCTGGTGGCCTAGTGGCAAGGAGCTGCAACTACAATCCCAAAGGCACACGGTTCGAATCCACCAGATGCTCTGCCAGGGAAGGAGGGACAGTCTCCTCCTGTAC